ATGGACTGGCATTGTTAATCAGTGTGTTCCTGGGGTCTGGCTGGGCCGAGTGCACACAGATGTGCCTTTGCTGCAGGACCTGCCTGGGAACTCATGCTGGGAAAGGCCTCCAGACTTTTGGAGTCTCCTACCGTATGGGGAAGAAGCTGGGACATGCTAGAGCTCTTGGGGGCTTTGGGCCACACCTGAGGAAGAAGTTGTCTGGTGTTTCCTCCATTGTCCCTGGGCTGCTTCAACTGAGGTGGGGAGGGGAGGGGCCCTTTAGTCTGAGAACTTCAGATAAGGAGGCAAAATCTGGAACTTTTAATCTTGTTTGGGTTCACAATAAAGTCTAGCTTGGCTGTTGGTAGGGGACTGGGGGGTGCTCCTATAGGAAACAAGGTGGGGCACAGGCCTTGAGTGGGAGAAGTGGGCAGGGCAAGAGGCACTGGGTCTGCTCCTCTCCAGCATCAGACCCAGACACCTATGGGCCTTGGGTTTCTGGACCCAGGCCTGGCCAGGAGAACAGGAGCTGGTATTTCCAGGGGCCTGTGGCAGATACATGTAGCTGGAAAGAAGCCCCTCCTGGGCTGTGGGGCAGACGAGTAGGAAGCACCCCAGGTTGCCCTGGATTAGTCCCACCTACAGTCCTAGCAAAGGTATTTATAGCTTGGGGAAGGGGCTCTGGGGTCTGTATCAGAGGGAAACAGGAGGCACTGAGTCAAACTCCAGTCAAAAAGCCAGGGCTAGGGACTATAGAGGCAGAGCTATTGGGCTGCTTACTGACCTGGCCTCAGAGTGTTAGGGTCAGGTCAGCCCCTCCTACGAAGCGGGACTGGATGCAGGTCACCAGGGGCAGTTGAGCTTGGAATCGCCTGACAGCAGCTATGCTAATACCAGGACACATGGAGACATCTAACGTCTGGATCTGCTTGCACGCCTGCCCAATGGTATCCAGCGTTCTGCAGGGAGGTCACTGTGTGAGTGCCTCACCTGATGTGGGGCCCCAGCCAAGCCCAGCCCAGCCCAGCCCAGCCCCTGCACTGTGGCATCATCGGACACACTCACTGTTCTGTAAGCTGATTGCAGCTGGACAGGTTGAGGTGCTGCAGCCTTGGCCAGGAGCTGGCTGCCTGGGCCCAGCCCTCATCACTGAGGAGGCTGCAGTGACTCAGCGCTAAGCGCTCCAGGCTAGGACAGCCTCTGGCCACAGCCACCAAGCCCTTGTCTGTGAGTGCTGGCAACAGGCTCAGTGACAACTGCCTCAGCTGGGTGAGCTGGAGCACCTGCAAGGGTGGAGTGTGTGGGGACAGGGTGTAGTATGGCACTGGAGCCCAGGGCCAGGGGCTCTTCTAGGTTCCCCCACCCCCAGCCAAAGGAGAGGCCATAGGCAGCAGAAACTAATGAGAAAGGAACTTTTTCCAAGCAAAATATGGGTTGGGCAGGCTCCTGGCTCCAGCCCAGGATCCTCAGCCTATCCACACCCCCAGTCCCACACCTTTGCCAAACTGGCATCAGTCAGCTTGCTGCAGGCTGTGAGGTCCAACTCCCGCAGGGCCTGCAGCATGAGCAGGGTGGGGCCCTGTGGTTGGAGAGAAGGGTCCTTAGGGGCCGAGGCCTGATGCTCCAGCTCTTGGTGTGGCTGTGGGACGAGGCCCCTGCTTCTCAGGTTCCTCCTGAGTTTGGCCCCCAAGTGCTCCTAGAGAGAGACTCAGGAGGGGCAGGAGAGGTAGGTGAGCCCAGGGACCATCCCACCCTCCATGACCTCGAGGGTCCCACACCTGGGCTCCCTGTGCTGGCTCCTCACTTGGTTCCTCAAGCCCCAGGAGCCCCCAGTCACAAAGCTCCTTGCACCAGGCCAGGCGCAGGACTGAGAGGAGAGTGAGGTAGGTGCAGATGGCCTGCAGGGTCCGGTTGGTGAGGGTCACACAAGAGGATAAGTCTAGCACCCTGAGACTTGGTCCCAGCACTGGAATCAGGGAGAGCACTGAGGTGTCCTAGGAGGAAAGTGGGGAAGGGAGAGAGCAATGGAAAGATGGCTTGTGCCTATGACACTGAACTTGGCAACGGTCACTAGGAAGGTTCTGTCCAAGGTTTTGGCAATAGGGAGCTACCAGAGGGTCCATGGAGGGAAGCAATAATGCCCTTGTGCTGGTGAAAGGTCAGAGTGAACAGGGTGAGCCACGGGGATAGGACACCAGGAGGAGCTTGCTGGAGGGCAAAGGCCTAGGTTGGCTGGGGCACGGAAGATGCGGGGGGAAATTCCAAAGGAATCTGCCCGGGTTGTGATCCCAGTCAGTACCTGCTGAAGGGGTGAGCCTGGGCTTACTGAACTAGTGGTGGTGTCTGACCCCAGTGACACAATCAGATATGCTCCCTCTACATTTCGAAGCAGAACTGTGAGGTCACAGTGGGAGTAGGGCTGCCACCTGGCAGAAGCAGTGGTGGCAGGAGGAGCAGGAGCTAAGGACGGAGTAGAGGAAACTGGTTGGTAGAGATACAGAGACACAAGAATGTGAGGCTCCAGGGAGGCCAGCTGAGACACAGTGGTGAAAGGAAGGTGGGTGGGGCGGGGGAAGAGGTGTGTGTGTGGAAACGGTTGAGAGATGGTTTTCAGGTGCGGAATACCCTGAGCATGTCAA